CACTTTTTTTTAAAAAACAAAGACAAATGTCAATTTATAAACCAAATTAAACAAATAAATAAACTTGCGTACAAGTCAATCCAAGACAATAGCTGCTGCACTTAAATGCATCCCAGTAAAAGGGATTATCCTGGTCTACACCCATTTTGGTGTCAAAGTTTTTGGAGCTGATTTTGGACAATTGCACTGTGCTGAATCCAAATATGACATTGGTTTTGCTCAATGAGGTCAAAATTCTCATTTGATGAAACGTGCAATTTACTTGTATTTACCTTTACAAATGTTTACGCTCATCAACTTTTGGATCATTTAAAAAAAAAAAAAAAAAGCATTAGAAAATGACATTTTTCCTCTAAAATCCAATTTCATATGAGAAATACTAAAACAAATCAATGTTAAAAAATGTAATCGATTTAGTGGCAAAATTGAATTTTTTAATTGAATTGGCATAAAAACCTGACCTCGTACAGAAAAGCAGATGTCATTTCTGGATTCAGCAAAAATGTCCTAAATCAGTCAAAAAATCCTGGACACCTTCAAAAAAATATTTCTTTGTAACTAAGTGTTATTAACTACAGTACTAAAGTAACCCAACAACCATTGCAGTTAAAACCTTGTAGTGTTGTTTAAGGTGTGATTATCCATGAGTGATCTACATATCAGGGATGAAACTCAACAAAATTAGATTAAAAAAATGACTTTACTTGACTATAACGAGACCCTACAGAGTTATTAACTCTGGAGTATAAACTAGTTAATGCAATAATAAAGATAAACTCTATTATAACGGGATTAGAAATTAGGAGCGCTGCTTCAGTTGTTGTATTGTAAAACAGTAAAAAAAGAGAAGATCCAAATATACCTATAAATAAAGTTACAAAAGGTATAATTATAAATATGAGGAGACGCGTTGTTGTTTTTTTTATTGCACAGCTACTTCACATTGGTAAGGTTTATTCACACATAGTTTTAGTGTATTTTTGGGGATCAGATGTGGAATCATATCTTCTGTTTGGTTTAGGATGGTGACAGCTCTCAGAAAGAAACTGTCCCTGAGTCCATTTGTTTTATTCTAGTGTTTAATGTGTTTTATTGTTACTTTATCATAGATGCCACTAAATCCTGCACACAGGTCCTTTAAATCCCTTTAAAGGCAATTTATTTTCTTTACAATTCTCAAAAAAACATACACAAAGTTAGCCAGTAACTAAAAATGCAAAAATCTACAACTTTGGACTCCATTTAGAAGAAACAAGTGGGAA